TAGTAGTACCATTATATATATAATACACAAAACAAATAATCTTGTTCTCTATGGTTATAATCGTTTGTTCAGAAATTGACAGGAACAGGAGTATATATGTATAACAACTGACATATACACATATGTAGTATCCATTTCCAATCTAATAAAATCCAGATGGCCAACATACAATGTTTTATCAAAGTAATGACTATTCACATAGAAAGAATGAGGTTTTTTAAATTAAATGTTTCACTTTCCACAGTTCAAGTATTAATTAATTTGATGGATTATAAATACAAAACCAAGAAAAAAATTCAAGTTAAATTTTAAAAAATTTATCTAATTAACATTATGACAGGTAACAAAAAGTAAAAGTTACTGATTCTAGACAAAGCTATGAATATAATAGTATTCAATTTTCAGCAAGCCAAGATTTTATTGATCTAATTTTTGAATCTTACAATAGCATCAAAAGATCTATACATAATCTCATTAGATTGGAAAGTTGAATACAATCATATCAACTTAACTAAATAGGTAAGTTTATATTTTCTCAAATATATAATTAGCACCAATCAAACATTTAAAGTAATTTGATATTGATTAAATTGTTGATTTTTAAGTTTATTTTTTTTTATCAATTTCACTTATTTAGAATTTACGTAGTCTTCATAAACAATGTTAAACAATGTCAATCAACTATGTATTATAATTTATAGTAATGTTGATAACTAGGGTCTAGATTTTCATGCAAATGCATACTCTCCTCAGGGCCGGATTTAGAACAAGTGCCACCCTAGGTCCTTTTAAATATGCCGCCCCTACCCCAAGAAAAAAAAATCTCGTAATTATTTTTAATAAATTAATTTAATTTTAAAGAAATTAGGTCAATAGTCATTATAAACAAAACAAATAATTATCAATTCTAATTCGTCGTGTGCGATGTGGATACACAATATCTCTAGTCATGAGTATTAAGTATTAGTATCGTAATTACTTTTAGAAACAACTTACATTATGTACCTAAGTATCTAATCTTTATAGCTCACATTACGAGAAAATTGATTTCGTGTTATTGACATTTTCAGTGTCATGCGCCCGTATATTTTATACACAGATATCTATACTATAATATTAATTGTATTTATATTACTATTAATTATTATATAATATTAATTTACACAGTTACATAAATGCTTAAAATATTTAAATGATTTTTTTTTTTATTTCTAACAAAATTTGCCGCCCTAGGCCCGAGCCTCACGGGCCTAGGCATAAATACGGCCCTGACTCTCCTACAGTTAACCTATTATAATTTTGATTATAAATGTTGACATTTCGTACTGTATAGATTCTTATGGATAATTTTTGTTTTTGCATATTTTGCATATTTTATAAATAATAAATAAAAAAATATTTTAATTGTGCTTTGATTCACAAAATTATTTTTTTTAATGTTGAAACATGGTGACGGTGCGACGCGATAACATGGAAACAGATTACAACCAATTGAGTGATGACTGTACGTTCACATTATTGGTTAGTGACAGTGGTGTTACATGTTAATATTTTATCCATAATTTTTTTTGTTCTGTATCAAATATTTCGTCTATTTAAAAGCAGGGAAAATAAGCATAGAATTTGCTAAACTTAAGCTGTCACATGTATTGTCCAAAAATTCAGGGTATTTTCGAATTAAAATAATTTGAGGAATATTAATCATAAAAATAATTGACAAAAACAAAGACATAGAGTTAACACCTAAAGACATATCTCGTTTTAAATATGAACTAATAGTGTTTTGTGATCAAGAAAGAAGTTTTTCTAAGTATAAATCTATGCTGCGTGACAATCATAAAATCTTCCATTTTAAATAATATTTTGTAACTTCTTGTTTGTATTTGTTCTAAAATTAATATTTTTTATTGTTAATTCTGAATTTAAATAATTGATTAATAATAACTTCTTTCATAATTTGTAAATAATAGTAAATTGTAATAGTTTATATGATGTAATATATTTTTAATGACTTTTTTTTTGCATATTTTTTAATTTTCATGTATGTTACCGGCAATATGGATATTCCGGTATTTTGCAAAATACCTAGGCATTATATAAAATGCTAAAAATCACTTGGCAATATACATAATATGAAATTTGCCTAGATATTATGTATACTGCCAAACTTGGACTAGTCAATATGATGAAAATAAACAAAATCGGGCATCGCCTATTACCAACGAATTTACTTGTCGTTTATCATAAATGTGCGTGTACGATTTAATGCAATATATATTAAGATTCTTTTACTACTATAATAATAATTCTGAGGTACAATATTGAACGTACTAATAATTTTATTATAATATCGTAATTTTTGTATCTCGTTATGGTGTTGTTACAATTTATATGAAGTTAAATGTTTAGAACTACAAAATTTTTTTAAAAATTTGGACACTAATACTAGTTTTTTATCCGATGACCAGTATAATGAGTTGATAAAAATTAAATCCACAAGAATTAGCCAAGTATTTTTAAAATGGGTTTGTAATTCAAAGTGTCAAAATAAAAAGTGTATTTGCCTTAAAAATAATATTTTATGCACTTTAAAATGTCACTTTTCTACAACATATTGTAATAAGTAAATAGTAGATTAAGTAAAATATTTATATAATTATTATAATATAATAATTATAAGAATTTTAATGTAATATAACATAAAATAAAATCTTTTGTACTTTGCCAAAAAAAAAAAATTGGCACTTTGCATAATGCTTGGATATTTTATAAAATACCTAGGTTATTTGTAAAATAATATGTTTTATTTACATTGCTTAAAATGGTCGGCAATTTACATAACGCCTAGGCATTTTTCAAAACACCTGAATTACCTTTCCATATTGCCGGTGACATATATAAATATATGCATATTCAATAATATATTTTGCATACAAATCCGGACTTTATTGATGACAATATAGTTATTTGAATATTACATAATAACTTATAAGTAATATTTGAAGAAAATTTCAAAATTTCTAAACTTGAGCTTAAGTTATAATAGCATATTAAGTAAATTAGGGGAAATGTATAAGCCCTCTACCCTCTCTCCTATAATGCCATTGTGATGTATGTGTATAAGGTTGTCACCAGTAAAGAAATATTTAAATTTAATAAAGGGTAAACTGCTAAGGATAAACTTTAGGTCAAAGCGATAAAAAACAAGATACCCTTTTTTTTGTGATTAAATTGGTACATATTGGTCTGTTTTCAGTTAAAAGGACGTCACACCTCCATGTGTTGTCTCCATCTGAGAAACGTACAACATAGTAAGTTTGCGTTCAGTGATTCAAATGTAGTGATGTTAGTTTTAGTATCAAAGTAATCAAACTTTAAAGGAAGAACATTATCTGTGTTTTGATGGTCGGTTTTTTCCGATATTTTAATTTTTAAGCGTGTTATCAGTATGTAAAAATATAACAATTAAAAAAACATCATAACTCGTTAAAAAATTAAAATATCGGAAAAAACAGACCACCAAAACACAGGTAATGTTCTTCCCTTAAAATTTAATTATAGGTCAATTTAATCTAATATGAAAGCTAACTTCACTACATTTGAACTACTGAACGCAAACTTACTATGTTGTTCGTATGTCAGACAGAAACAACACATGTGGATGTGATGTCCTCTTAAAGATAAATATTATAGATAGTCCATTTATAATTCTTTATTTTATAAAAAAATAATAATTTTTTGAATTTTTAATAGTTTAATTTTTAAAATTATCACAAATATAGAAATTTGAATATTTGTTATGGACTACCATATATTATTATATAACACATATCATTTACATAACATATATTCCACAATTAACATGAATATTGTTATATTTAAATTGGACTCATTTTTAATTAATAACATACATCTTGACTGCTCAAGTTGAAATTGAACCTGTGGTATGTAACATAGTACTACAAAATTCTACATTTCCGTTAATAAATAAATAAATAAAAAAATTCACCAAATTAAACATGAACAATTTTTTCAATAACAAAAATAATTTTGCAATTCGAAATTTAAAATAATTTTTTTTTATTATAAAAAAATGTATATTTTAAAAATAATTTAAAGTATTCACTCTATATAATTAAATACATTTCCAATAAAAATCTAAAAAATATAATTAAACTTTCATATTATTCAAATTTTTAGGTACTATATACACATATATAAACTGGTATCTAATATAATTTTTGGAATATGTAATAAAAATGTCTTATACTTTTACATGATAATTATTTAAACAGAACTATGCAGGTATACTTAGAAACAAATATAGATAGCAGATACTCAAAAATAAACAAGTGATATGGGTGATAAAAACGTTGTCAAACTGCAAATACTAATATTTTAGACAACAGATTTAGAATAAAAAATACTTAAATAAACAGAATTTGTACTATATACTATTATAATAACTCTTTTCAAGACAAAATTAGATTAAATACAAAAATAAATATTTACAATTTTTAGTTCATTTTGATAATTACTGTGTTGACTATCCTGGGTGAATTGTAAGAGAAGATTTGGTGTTACTCGAGCAAATATGATCATATTGTTAGCTCATGGCAGTTGTGGGGGATAAGGAGAGCCGTTAAAGTTCTTAAAATTTTTATATTTTATTTTATATTTAATAATTTTGTGATTATGATTTAATTTATAAATTTATAAATAAAGATTAAAGAGTTATTTTCTAAAATTATTATTTTTATTTCTTTTCTTATAAGGAAAAGTTAACAATTTTACTGTGGTATATAACTTGTTTACAAAGGAAAATTTTTCATTAATGAAAATATCAATAAATAGTAAATGTTATGTTATATTGTATACCAACATTCTAATTTTAGGAATGTATATTTAAAAATTATATTATTAACTTCATAAAACATCAACATTTTTAAATTTAATTTTATGTTATTATTTACAATAATATTAAAATATTAATAACATACCTTTAGTTGGTTCATAGCTTTAGTGTTATCTCGTTTTAGTGTGTTGCATTTATCAAACTCAGCTTCAATTGTTTCCATAGATGATTCTGCTTCTGACAACCATCCCAAAAAATTATCAAATGATTTGTCTAAATTCTGTAAAGAATTTATTGCTGAATGTAATACTTTTCCTCGGCTAATTATGCTAAAAAATAATTTTACGATTAATAAGAAAATATTTTTAAATATGAGTAAAAATATTTTTCTGATATTGAAAAAGAAACTAACTTAGTGTTTAAATTTTGAAATCTTTGGTTTACTTGTTCTGTTGATTTTTTAATTTTGGAAATGTCATCATTTTGATATACAGCTATTAGTTTTTGGGTAAGTTGATTAAATAAGTCAATTTGATGTTTGTATTGATGTAACTCAACATGGAATGTCTAAAAGTAAATTATATACATAAGATATTATATATATATATATATATATTTAAGGATAATTTAAAATTATTTAAAATACTTTTAATACCTTTTGTTCTCTCTGCTGTGCATCAAGAACATCAGCAGTATTACCAACTGAACTCATTCGCTGTAATCTGGTCTCCATTTTAGTCAACCAAGTATCTAATTCCTTTTTCTTTGCTTCATAGCGTTGACTGTCATTTAACATTGCATTTAATTCAGTTTTACGTTGCATTACTTTATTATTAGTTTCGTCCCAATGTTCACGTAATTTAGTCACTATACAAAAATAATAGTTAAATTATGATAAATAGTACATAACAAAATGAAAATAATGATACAACACCTTTGCCATGTAATTGTTGTCGATTTGAATCAGCTTTAAGGTTTTCAGCAGTATGGACAAGTTCATCAAGTTGAGGCTTTTTCTGTTCCAACTCTCGTAATACATTCTATTTAAAATAATAACTATGAATAATTCAATTCTTTATTATATATTATATTTTAAATTTATTATATTAAACTCTTAAGATTAAAAAAAAACCAAATTTAAGTTTTAAAATGTATTTTGTAATTTGTATAAAATGATATTAAATATTATTAGAAGATTCAATTTATAAGATAGTATTTTAAACCTACTTGTCTTACGAAAAACATGTAAGGGATTATTAAGATATTGTATTGCCATGGTGACGTGTATATACACATAAATATACTATAAAAATAATATTTATTTTATAAACCTAATCCATCATTTTCACTATTAATTTGAAATTAGTTGATGTAACAAAATAATTTATTTAGTTTTCATAAAATATGTACATTTATACATTTACTTAATACATAACTAACCAAACCAACCATCTAAAATATTTAAATTTTTAGAATGATTAATATATAATTATTAATGATTTTAAATGTAGAATGATTATTTATATTTTATGATTAATTTTAGATTCTTGGTGAAGTTAAGGATCTTTATGGTTTTACAATGGTGTTTATTTTTTTTTCTGTTATTATTTTTTTAAATAGAAATACTAGTCCAAAAGTTTCATCAAGCAACACAATAGATTCGAAATTGGCCTCTGGTGGTATACTATAAAAAGGTTATTTTTTTAAAAATCTCAATATTTTTACCAGAAAATTGATGAAAAATCGAGTAAAAATGTGCTCTTAACAAGACTTTCACTTTTCAGATTTTAGTTAATTAGTTATAACTCCAAAAGTAATGTAGCTAGAAACTTGAAACCTGTATCCTATATCAAAGACATTTTTTTTATATTTGACAACATGACTAAAAAAAGTTTAACACTTTTGGTTTTAATAAAGAACTTTAAAAATATCTAAGTTTTTATGCAATAAAATTTTTATTTTTGGATATATATATATATATATATATATATATATATATATATATATATATACAGACTTGATAATTTTATATCACCTTACTTATAACAACACTGACCTAATGATACTAAAAAATATTTCAAAAATCGTTAGTTAGGATTTAATATTATAAACGTTTAAGTAAATTGTACAATTATTTAGGAATTTACTGGTTTATCAATTTTCAACTTCAAATTTAAATTAAAAAATTGGTTCATCCAATCAAAATGAAACTTTGGATACAGATTGACCAACATTTTAAGAATATTTGGTTAAAAAATTACTCCTTCGTCAAACAAGACAATTTTAAACAGGTTGATAAAAAAAAAAACCTAAAAATATTAGACTAAAAATGATGAAATATATAAATGGTATATTTTATAGTGAAGCTTTGCTCAGTGTTGTTTTACTGAAGAAACGAGTTATCATTAGTTTGAAATTCAATACAACCATTACGATTATCCAACTGAAGACCGAAAGGTCTTTAATAATAATTTTAACGCGTAGATAAATAGTTTAAGATATTATTTTATAAATAAATTATTATTCACTGTCTTTTTTGATTTTTTTTTTTTCAATAGATAATCAAGATTAAATTATTCACAAGAATTATAATTAAAGTTGTGGTAAGAATATCAAACCAATATCGTATAATTTAACTACATAACTGTAAGTCATTTATAATTATAACCGTACCAATTTTTAAAATTTTGATATAAATTTTAATATAATTTTAATTCATACATTTATTTTATAAATATTAAATAGGTATGTTGATAACAGCTATGAATAAAACATTTTAAGACAAAAGAAATGTTTTAACAAAAATGAAACAATAATCTAAATTTATTTAATTAATTTTTTTTTTTTGTTCATATAAGTTTACTAATTAGGAATTCGTTATAAAAAAATTAAAAAATTTTTTAGAGGTAAATCTATGTTTAATTTTTTTGAGTAAGAATTTAAATCTTAATTTATATGAATTTCATAATAAAAATATTACTTACCTTTTGTTTATCAATAAGTTGGAGTATATCATCCACATCCCCAACTGTAACTGATTGTTGACGCAACATATTTTCTTCTAATGCCAACCAATCACAAATCTAAAATGTTTAATAAAACTTTTAGAGTACATAATTTTGAATACTTAAGTTCAACAATTATTAATACCTGTAAAATAGATTTATCAAAACTAGCTAATAAATTGAGAAGTGCATCTGATGAGTTGACAGGAGATAATGACCGTAAACTTGAACGGGAATGTGTTTCTGAGACATTCTTTGTTAGACTTTTCCAATTTTCTTCTGCTATAAAATAATACAAATATAACTATTCTACATTTAATATATAAATAAATATTCATATAATTATTTAAGATATGTTACAAATGTAATTTGAAGTAATCATGACCATTGTGTATGTATGTGTGTGTTTATGTCTGTATATATATATATATATTTATATTCTACTTAAACATTTTTTTTTTAATATTGTATTTTATTAATTGTATTATATATTAATAATTTCAATAATTAATATTGCTATTTATTAATTTAAAATTGGTTAAGAGTGAGAAAAGAATAAATTATAATATCAATAAGTGTACATTTCAATTATAATTCAATTTTTTTTACGATAGTTGATTTTTCTAATCAATGTATTGTTAAAATAGTATATTATAAAATATATTTGGTTCCTAATGGTACTATTTTCATTAAAATATAAAAAGAAGAAGAAAACACAAATAAACCTATGTTTATATAAATTTAATAGATAATAACTTATTAACAATAAAACAGACATTACATCAAATAATAAAATATTAAAATTAAAAATAACTATTAAATTTCATGTTTAGGAAAATCATTTTTTGATTTGAATAAACGTTATGTATATAAATATAGCTAGTTTAATACATAACAATTGCATCAAAAACATACAATGAATAGAAAACAAAATAAATATTATCATATAAAATCAACTACTCCATAACATCAAACACGAAATCTACGAATAAAATCCATAAAAATAATAGTAATAATAATACAGGTAAAGGTACTATTGTAAATTAACGTTTCATTGAATGTATACGTAATGCCATTACTACTTACAATCGAAACATTATCCATGAATTACGACCACCCTATATACGTTTAACAAGAAATGTGTACGGAAGCAAAATAAAGAGAAAAATAAAAAAAAGGGCAAAAATAAAAGGTGTGAAAAAAAAAACCGGAATCGTATAGTAGTGATTGACGACGGCCGCGTGGTTAAATGCCACCCTGTCCCGTGGCAAGGGGCGAAGGGATGGCCCGCCGATACCGCCGCGCGAATGGACCGGAACAAGTAGCGCGCGCGAGATGTACCCCGTGTGTGCTCGCGCGACGACGGCAACCCTCATCGATTGATATACAAGTGGGTGGAGTCTCCATCGTAGGTACTGTCGTAGACCACAGCGCGACTTTTCGAAAGCCGCGCACGTCCGGTGACGAACGGGTATACACGCACGCATGTACACGCTTACACAGGACACGCACACTCGTACGGCTTGTCCTCCCGAAACCCCACCCCCGTTACGTACGTTCACGGTATTAGAGCGAAAGCCTCCAGCGCGCGCGATATTATATATTGCGTTATTATTCTAAAGTTTCCTTCCGCTCTTGTTTATCGATCCCCTCTCTTGAACACGTCGCAGAACTGCGTCTTCACTTACGATGCTCGGTCACATCCCGACAACGTACTACTCATATTAAATTCACCGTTATATATTCATTTAGACCGTTTTTTTCACTAACCCAGCACGACTACATTAAATGAAAATTTAAAATTTTGAACCGTATAGTCTTATCATCGTTTATAATGTTTTATTGAATATCATGTCTTACGTCCATTTATATCCGTCTCGAGCGTTCAAAAAGACGGCATGCGTTTTCGCTGTTAGTAACACCAACTATCAAGTACTGACATCATTCATGAACCTACCGTTACGCGTTCGAAAAGCTCAAACCCAACGATCACTATAATCCTGGGGAAATGCATTCCATATTTTTATAAAATAAACGTGTATGCAAAATATTTTGATGTTTTTTAACTTTCGCAATATAATGTATAATTTCATATAAAAATACGAAAATAATTATGCATTGGATAATGTGTATAAGAATAGTCTTAAAAATGTATAATATATCAATAAATAATACATTATAATAATAATATTAATAATAATATATTTTCATGTTTTATTTACAGAGAACTGAAATTGTATAGTTAAGTATAAACTATAAACTATATTATTTTAAGCCATTTAAAAACAACCATGACTCATATTATTTAATAAAGGTTTGGAAATTATAGAAGTTAAATAATATTTGTGCATAATAAGAGAAAATATATTTATTAAGAGTTATGCAATTATTTTAATTTGTATAATTGTATTACAAGCCAAAGAAATATTACCCTAATTAGGTCAAAAGTACTGATTTCTATGATTTACTTATCTCTACAACTAAATTTAATGCATTCCACAACAATTTAAAGCTTACCTTTTTTTACTTCAATTGATGTGACTGATTTTTTTTTGGAAATGTTTTGATTTGCATTTTTCAAATAATTCCAATTTTCTCTGAGATATTTAACAATTTCCTATGCAATAATATATTATAACTTGAAAATTCTTATCATAATTAAGCTTTTTATAATAAACTGTGGAACAAAACTTAAATTTATTAATATAAATTAATATTAAATTCACCTGTAAATCCACAGACACTGGTTGACTTATTCCTTCGCATTGTTTTTCTATATTTGTAAAATTTTCCAAAATATCTTGAACTTCTGCATTACGCTCTATTAAGCTTGACTAAAATAGTAAATAATTAACCATCAATTTTATTCAAAATAATATGAAATTACATTTTACAAAAAAAAAAAAAAATAAATAAAAATATATTACATGTAACTTTTCAGTTGCTAATTTTCTCTCTGTAAATGGTTTGTGGTTAATTTCATCTGCTTCTGATTTTTTTTTAGTGGCCCAACTATTCAATTCTTTTAACTGATTTATGAATTTATTTAAAGCCGCTAATTTTCCATTTAAACATATTAAATTATCAGATAAATCAGATATAACCTAAAACAAAAATTATATTATTTAATAATTTATTTTAAAAGTGATTACTTAACTAAGTTTACGAATGGCTTATGTTAATGCTAAAAAACAATGAATTGGTAATTTTATTTTTTAAAAATTTTAAAAGCAACAATTTTAATTTTATCTAAATTAAATATATTTTATACAATTTAATGTTCAAATTTTTCAAAAATTATTATTATTTTCAAGACATAAGTTTTTAAAAATAATAATAATTTTTTTTTTTTTGTAAATAAATAATTTATTAAAATCATTTACTTGATCAAGAAGTGACTTAATTGATTCTAGATCATTTGGTTGTTTTAATTTTTTTGAATTGATAGCATCCAATTCCTTTCTTCGGGTCAATAATTCTACTTCTTTGCACTAAAAAATAACAACATTATGTTCATTATGAATTATACTCATTAATAAGGAAAGGAAACATATTAATGCCCATAAATAAATCATAGTACCTTAAGCAAACAAATTTTCGAGTTTAATGAATCAACTTCTGAAGGATTGGCCTGAGAAGCTTGCAGTACATTTAAAGTCTGATCAATTGTAATTTTTGTAGCTGATATAACACTTGAAAAATCAGATTTCGATTTTTCCATTTCATTTAACCTATAAATACAAAACTACTAATGAAAACTAAATTATTAAATACTTTGTTGTTAAAAAATACCTGCATGAATTAAGATAAAATAACAAAAATAAAATGAGAGAATATGTCCCTAGACAAAATAAATATAAAAAATTTGGACACTAGCCAAATAAGTAAAAATAACATTTTCTCTCCAGTATTTGACCATTTGGATAAAATAATGAGATAGATTTAGAACATAAATACACATACCTTTCTCTTTGTGTTGTCAACTTATTTAAAACTACTTGCCATCTTAATCTAAGGCTCTCAACTTCTGACTGAAAACTATCTGAATGTGACCATAATGTGCGTGAACAGTTTAAAAAACTTATTACTGTTCTGTAAATTAATTTAAAAATATTAAGTAAAATGTACACATCAATAATTTTACATTATTTTTCCATAAATAATACGTAATAATTATATCAATTAGAATAACAAAACTGAAATATATATTTTTTAAACCAATTTTTTTTTAGTTTTTTAAGTAAAATTTTTACAAAATGCTATTAATACTAATTTATAAATAGCTAATTTTTTAAAGGTAAAGAAAATTAAAATTTTTTTTTGAACATGCTCTTTAATGGTTTACATTAAGGTTTTTACCTTAGTTGTATTACTAATAATTAATTATTTAACAGAATAAATAAAATATTCAAAAATCATAAAATCAATAAGTTCATTCTACATTTCTGGTATTACAATTTTAAAATTTACCTATGCCTAGACGATACTCTTTTTTCTAAATCATGCTGCTTATTTTTTTTTTCTTGCAATGTTAATGTTGAATTATTTTCTTCCATATCACATTCAATTTCTGCTAACCATTCAGAAAGTTCCTTTCCACTTTGTTGTAAATTACTAACTTCTGTTTGTATGCTAGATAGTTGTCTAAAATTAAAATTATAAATATTATATATATTTAAAATATAAATACTAGCTTAATAAATATAATAAAATATCCAACCCAGTTCGTTCAATGACACATTTATTAAGCATCTCCCAATTTTCTTGGATTTTTATAAGGTTTCGCTGAACAAATACATCATCATTATTACTTTTAGAATTCAATTTTTCAATACATTTTTTTAGCTTTTTAGTTTCATTTTGAATATCCTAAAATTAGAAAATTTCATAAAATCGTGAATTTAAAAACATAAATTTATTAGTTTACTTCAATTTTAGAATTTTGAAGTGCAACAGAATTGTTTGATAATGGTATTAGATTTAATTGTTTCAATAAAGAACCTAAATTTATTCTTATATCATTTATTTCAGATAAAACTTCTTCAGAAACATTAACATTTTGCTATAAAAAAAATTCATTAGTTTAATAAGATGATAAAAATGAAAAATGTATAATATTTACTGGTTGAGACAAGGGACTCAGTTTATTCAGTTTATTATTAAGTTCTACAATTTTTAATCGCATTTTACCAACAGCATCCTTATTATAACATAATGCTTCAATATCTGATATAACTTCATCCATTTCTAATAAATTAGCATATTTATTATTAATTTCTCGTTCAAATACCTAAGAATGTATGAATAAATACATTATAATTTTTATCATAACTTAAACATTTAAGTATAATTATAATTATTGTCATAATATAAAATAATCAATTATTTTATATTTATCTACCTCTGTATTGTTATGCTTATGATTTATCCAATTTTCAATATCTTGAGTAATTTTATTGAATGAATGTACTTGTTTCTCTAACATTTGAGTTTGTAGTTTTACTATCTGAAAATAATCAAATTAGTAAATTATTTTAAAAATTTAAATTTACTAACCTCTATTTCTGACATAATATGAGTCCACATAACTCTAAGTCTGTCTTGAATTAAAGTACACAAAGTACTTGCTCTTGAAGGATCTTCCGTGTGACTGGCAAGTATAAGACTATCACCTTTACTTATTAATGTAGCAGCATCAGGTGCTATATTGCTTACTTCTTGTTCAACAGACTAATACATATATTACAAATAAATAAATTATAAAAAGTATAGCAAAAAAATCAAAATGTTATCCAAAAATACCTCAAAACGTTTATTTGGATCAGATTCTGTATTTAATTTGCGGAGATCTTTTAAAGTAACTTCCATCCTAGTTAACATTAACTTTGCTTCATTTTCATATTTTTCAATATCTACATCAATGTTTTTAATCAATGAATTATTCGATAATTTAGAACTTATTGAAATTTCTTTTTTTTGTTTCACAAATAAATTACCCTAAAATAAACAAACAAAAAAAAAATAATATCAACTAAAGTGCTCATTTGTTTTCTCATTAATTATATTTATAAATAATGATGATTATAGAAATTACCATTTTTAACAATAAAAACAAAATAATCCAATGAAATATTTCAACATAAAATTTAAGATCAAAGATGTAATTTAAATATAAAAGTTAAAAAGTAAAAAAAAAGTTTGATTAATTAAACAAAGTTTTTGTTATAATTTTATATGTATCTAATAGAATATAGATAAGATTTGTAATTATTAAATAAAGGAACACTATTTTTCAGTTGCTGTATTTGCGTTCACTATTAAATTTACAGTAATAAAATAAAACAGTAATAATATAATTTCAAAAACAAATTAATTAAATTAATACTTCTAAAACTTATTTATTTGAAAAGATAATAATAATATCAGCAACATAAATATTGAATGTAAAAAACAGCAACAATAAAATATGGGTTATTAGAATATCATAACTAAGTAGCCCACCATCAATATTCCATAACTGGTTTTAATATTACAATTCAATAAATGACCATGGACTCTGATGCAACTATTAATTTAAATATTTACTATTTTAATTTTATCAAATAACTATGTGTTCATATTATATTAAAATTTCTTATATACCTTTTCTAAACTAATACAATTTTCAAATTAAAACTTATAATTAATAATAGAACATTGTAATAGATACTTAATAATATTGTTTTAATTTGTCATGAGAATATACTATTATTTTGAAAGTTATTACATAATAGTCTTATCATGACACCGCATAATTATATTCAAATTGAATTTATTTACATATTACTTATTATAAGGAATTTATTATATCCAAGATTCTAAAAATAATCAAAGAAATAATATTTTAAATTGTTAATATAATTTCATTATATCATTATATTTCATCAATATATATTTTTGTATTCAAATTTTATTGTGTTACTTTAATATTAATTTAAAATGAAAAACGCTCAGTAGTTTTCAAGAAATTTTTTTAAATGTGGTTTAATCAAATGCATAAAAACTATTATGGTAATGAGAATAATTCTAAGCACATAAATTAGGAAGATTATGGACTTAATGTTTATTTTATTAATTAGTGAAAGTTAAATAATTTTAGAAGAAATTCAACTACAGATTTTTAGATATTTTTAGAAAAATTTTACAATTAATTTTTTGAAATTGCATTAATTTATATCATTTTTTAATATGATTAAAATAATTTTCCTAAACTAGGAAACTAGATTATTTTGAAAGAACTTAAAATTTCAAATTTTAAATTTTTTATCTAATTATTATATCCATTAATTCTAGTAAAAGGAAATGTATTAATAGGATTAATTTTAATTAAAATCTTGAAGAAAACATTTTAAATAATGTTGGAGATATTCAGTAGTGCATTGCACTCAACTTTTAAATATTTGTAACAACTCTAAGCTTTGTGCGTAAAATTTACAGATTTTATCTGCATGAAAAAAGAAGGTGTCCAGTAAATAATATTTGTTCAGAATTATTAAATAAATTATTATTTTATTTTACAAGAATTTTTATTTACTATATATTTTTTATTTTTTAAATTAAATTTACTATGTGAAAAATTACAATTTATACAATATGTAATACTGAACATAAAATGAGGTGGTGAAGAAAAAAAAGGCATTGAATAAGAGTTTAACATTAGAAACTCCTGGAAATTATAGTTAAATAATTAATTGCTATTTTTAAATAAAAACCATTGATTATGATATTTTTAATGAATGTTTCATACATTGCAATAATTAATTAATACAATTATAATTTTGTTTTGTTTTGGGAGAAAAATCATGCAGGCATGTTTGAAGGAGTATTGACCAAAAACATACAATGATCAAAGTGAGGTGATTATTAATTACATATAAAAGCAATATTTTATGATTTGACTACTTTCATAGTGAAAGAATAAACTTTCCTAAGCATTTTCAACAAAAAAAACTAAAATCATCACAACATCATAAAAAACTGGGGAAAAATTAATCTTCTATAATTATAAAACAAAATACTTTAACCATCTATATTTTAATCAATTGTATTCTTATATTTTTAATCGAAAATTCTCAAAAATTCTCAAAAGATAAGATTCAGCCAAAATCGAATGTATATAATAACTATCCTCATGTTTACAATTTTAATAAATTTTACATTTAGGCAAAATGACTAAATTCTAGCAATATTTTAAGGAATTGAAAAATTTTGACTAATATCTTTTAAGAATTTAAACAATATAAATAAGAGCTATACATAAGCATTATATTATTTTGATTTTTTAAAAGTTTTTTTTTAATTGTTACCGTTGAAATTTGTAAGTATTTAATTAAATAATTAAGAACTGATTAAGAGCAACAAAATAATCTTTTGAAACACATATCTATTTAAATTACATTAAAAATATAAGCAATTAACTGATAAAAATAATAAGTTAATTAATTTTTTTAAATATTAATGAAGTTTAACTAAGTAATAATTGTTTTATTAAAATAATTTAAAATGCACAGAAGTTACTTGAAGTAACATATAACATATAAAATAATAATATAATTTTAATACCTTGCTTATTTGTTCTTCATCAGATGAACTGCAATCTTCAAAATTACTATTTAGTTCTTCGTCATCAGAAAATACTACTATATCATCTGTTTCTTTGTCACTTCCATAAAAACTATCATTATCTTCAGCAATACTTTTAGGTGAATTTAAAATTTTTATATCTTGATCTGTTCCAATAATTCTGTATGTATTTGACATTTCTATTTCTTTAAGTAATATAACTTCTTTATGATCATCTGATTCAGGATTTTGCCAAGCAGTAATAGTAGTATGATGAGTCTTATTTACTTTAACACACAATGAATCAGAGTGCTCTTTTTGTTCTTCTTCTAAGGAAGCCATATACTCCTTACCTAAAATATAAATTACATTAAAAAAGAAATAACATACAAATTTAAAAGTTTAATTACTATGTAAGCTTTCTAAACTAGATTTAAGTGATTCATCTGATGCCAGTTTTTGTCTTTTGACTAAAATTTCACAAGGACTTAAACATGATTTTTTTTCTGTATTTTTTCTTCTGTATACAATTTGAGGCCATTTCTCCTCGTCTGTTTCATCTGCATCTGTTTCAGTATCCTCAGATAACTCAACCATTTCTGCATAACCCTCAGGAACTACACGTTGAATTGCAGTAACTTCACCATGACTAATAACACTGGACTTTAATATTTCATGTTCTTTAATCTCAACCATGACACACTCTTGTGTATTATTTTCACATTTAGGTTTTACAAAAGATTGCAAAAACTTAGGATCTACTTGAGATACTTGTGAAAATAACATACTGTTTTTAGTCAGTTGAAATGTATCTTCTTCATCATTATACTGCATTAATGAATGGTGATCTTTTTTGCTTTTTTCTTCAGTAATCATTATCTTGGGAACATATTTTTCATTTAATTCTGTGGATTTATTAAGATTTTTTTCCAATTGTTCACAAGTCATATTAGATTTATCCTGAAATTAATTTTTTTTTTTTTAGTTACATATTTATATACCTTGATTTTACACTAAATTAATGAAAATTTAAATAGTTTTAAATAAAAACAATAATTTCTCATTATTTTTACCTCCAGTTGTGTTAAATTATTTTGAAGTCTTTTCAAAACTATTGTCCATCTATTAAAAATAATATCCATACGTTCACGGTAAGTATTATCTTCACATAGGGGATCTTTAAGAGATTCAAATTCAATGTAATGAGAATTAATTGAATTCTGAACTTTTTCCCACTCTTTACAATCTACTTCTAAAGTATGCTGTATAAAATACACAAAAAATATTATAAAAACAAACAAGGCATTTATAGTTGCATAAAAATTATTGAAATACTCACTTTAATAAATTGTAATTGGACATCAAAATGTGTCTCTGGTGAGTGATTATTTTCAATTTCATTCAGTTTTTGTTCCACTTCATTTAACCAATTTGCAAAACTATTAATATTATTGTCAAGAAAATGCAAAATGTTTAATCCTTTTTCTAGTTTAGATTTTGTATTAGAAATATCTGTAGTCAACTAAATACAATATCAAAAACAATTTAAATTATATTATAAAATATAAAGCTATATATATATTACATACAGAAAAAGAGTATTTTAAGCTGTGTAATATATAATAGCTGAATAATATTCACTATAAAAGAACAAGTAAACCTTATACAAAAGTCAAATACACTTACTTTAGAATATAACTGATTAATGGTTTCAATTTGTAATTGATTCTCATAAGTTTCATTTGAACTTATCACAAAGTCCACTTCATTTTTTAAAATTTCTAAAGTAGAACTCATTTTCTGTGAAAGATTAATTAATTTTTTATTAAAATCTTTAAGAATAATCTCAATATAAAATGTTAATAATATATTAGATCTTAGAATGTTATGTTTTTTTTTTACGTGTATATACTGTTTGAAAATATTAACATTGAATTACTATCTTGTTATTATAATTAAATATTAAAATTTCTTATACAATAAAAAATAAATTGAATTATTGAGTTTAACGATTTGTCTAAGGTGAAAACACAATTAATATTAATAGAAATGAACAATAATAATAATAATAATAATAATAATTAACAATTAATAACAACATAGTTATTATCGATAATATGACCAATTCAATGTGCAATGAGCACAATCATACAATTGATTTTTATTTTAGAAATTATAATTTCTATAAAATAAAAAACTATGTATGTTTAATTAAAAAATCCAAGTATAATTGATTAGATTAAAAATTTCCTTTCCAAAAATGTATACATAGCAACCTACATTTTTATAACACTTAAAATTCATATTTATTCATTTATTAGAAATTACAAATATATATCTTGTCTACAATTAAAAAGCATTTTTACCATAAAACACAATATATAATATAAAATAAATATATATTTCATGTATTTAAATATAAAAAATAATCACCATAGACTGTTCCAGTTGGCCTTTAATGCTATCAGGATCATCAGATGCTAATTCTAAAAGACATATAGTATTTTCAATGGACTGTAATTCTCTCAAGACTCTAGAAACACGAGTAGGTAAATCTCCAGGAGATTGATATCTTTCAAATTTCTCTTCTAATTGATAAAAACGTTTCTATAAAAATACATTTGAATATTTTAACAGAAATATACTTTTATTATAAGTTTCAATATAGTTTTAACAAAACTTAAAAAAAATGTGTACATTTATTTACCATTTATTATATTATATATCATTAGCTTTGTATTAAATGCATCTAATTTTATTACATTATAAAATGCATACTGTCATTTTTACCAGATATATAATCTTAATTCAATATTAATAATTACAAAATTTAAATTTATTTTTTTTCTTTTATAATTGTATTTTATATTTAAATAGTATACATATAAGTGAAATTGTTAAACTAGTATACAGTGCTGAGTTAACAAATATGTCACTTGGGGGCAGATTTTAAATTGCTGCAATCTATAAACTTATTGTACCAATTATTTACAAAAATAAAAAAAATAACCGCGTTAAAATTATTAAATTAATCTATATTTATAAACAAATAAACATCGTAATAATAAAATGGAACATCAGTAATTTTAATATAATATAACTATTAGTATAAACATTCAGCACTACTTAGCCTTATGTGCTTTCCACTCAGTCAATATAGTTTGACAGTTGACGAGACAACGATCAGGGTATATGAGACTCAAAAGACAAATAGACGATGGAATAATAAAAAAATTGCTTGCTAGTGTACAAATAAATCATTTGAAACTATTAATATCAAATTTAATAATCTAATAGTTATAAATTATAATATAGCCATACGGGTACATAACTAACACATTAAGTATCAGTGAGTTAACTATTGTAAACATATTGTATACAATTTGTACTCAAAAATAATACAAAAATAGAAAACTCCAAATGCTATAAAAATATGTACATACCAATAATATGCTAAACACTTACTTACTGGACAATTCTGCGGTAGGTGATATAATATTATATAACTATTATTATTTGTTTTACATACTTTTCAATAATTAATAATTCTTCCTTAAGTTTGTTATACATTAGAAAACTTCAAAACTTTAATTTTTGCTATTAAGAAATTGCCATGAAGAAAACTGCCTCTTTGTCCCCCCCCCCCTGATTGGAACTCTTAACCCAAAATTATGTTTTGCATGAATAATTCAAGAGTAATAATTAATTAAGGCTATTCAATACATTTTTGGAGAAAACCAATTTATATAAGTAACCACATATATATATAATAGATAGAAGTTAACACTCATGTATAAATTCTTTTTGATTAGTTCTATGCAATTATTGAGTTAGATATCTAATAAAAATAATAAAAATATAATACAAATTGGAAGCTGATTAATATTAGATATGTATGTCATTTATTGATTAACATTTTATTAATATTGATTATGATTAGTATAATTTTTACATTAAATGGGACTTTAAAACTTACTTTTAATAAAGATAATTGATCCTTCAAACGATTTGCTACTTCTTTTTTATTTGCTATTTCATAATTGCATATCTGCTCTTCCATGTCATGCAATAATTTAGCTTGGTTTTGGAATTCTTTAGATAATCTCTATTTAATGAAAAAAAGTTGTTAATAAAATGACAGTTAAACATTTCAGTTGATAGTTTCATATATATGCTTATTAAAACTATAATATTTTTAATGTAAATACATTTTAAAAGAAAAAAATTTAGCGATATTGTCATAAAAAAATTTAGTACTAAAATTTAAACTTCAAAACGATGGATTGTAAAGTATTATGAACGACTGACAATTTTATTAAATATAAAATGTATGACTAAATTTTGCAATAATAATATATTAATTGATACATAAAAATATCAATCTAGCTTTCAAGCTTATACTCATAGTACAATTAATATAACAAAGGACAAATATAAATTAGTATTGGAGTTTTACTATTTTAATTTCAATAATCACAAAAAAGTATTGAAAAAATTATAAAAAAAACTTATTCATATTTTTAATAATTTATAGATTTTTAAATAATAGTAAATATAGGTCTGTTTTTGTAAAAAAAAGATGTTTTTATAAAAACCAACTGAATTTATTTTTATTTAATTCCTTCAAATTTGAATTATAAATGCTGTACAGAATTAAAATAAATATAAATATTTTTATTTATTTAAAAAATACATTCTAGATACAATTAATATATTAATAACTTACTTCAACATCATTAGGTAGATCTTGAGGTGAAAAATCATTTTGTATACGAGATGTAAGTTGTTGATCAGTAGTTTCAAGCCATTGTTGAAATTCAGCAATGCAATTTTCAGATTTTTGTGTTTGTTCAATGCTCTCTTCTAAACGCTTAATTTTATCCTCTGCCTAAAGGAAAATAATAACAATACAATTATATAAATCAATTGATACGACTTTTATTTAGAATTTATTATCTAAGAAGAGGTAGGTAATACAAATAATCCTGGTCAGCATTATATGGCCTAGAGCAGATCTAGGAAATTAAATGTGGTCCAAATGGAACATTTCAGCCTATGTAACACGTAAATCAAATTTTGATGACAAACAACAAATAGAATAGATAAAATAAATAGTTCTATTCTGAGGATACAATAAAATTAGCATTTTTTAGTAGTAAAATAATCTATCTTAAATGTATAATTTTTGTTTAAGAAACCTGTTGATTTAATTTTGGTACTAGAACCAAAAAAAAAATTTCTAGCTATATATTAGACTGTAGTAGATACCCTTTTTTTTTCTTAATTCAATTGCTAAAAATTTAATAAATTAACCACGTTAATAATACACCATACTATGTTATATAGTACATTTTTTTTATAAATAATAATTAATAATAAATTATTTATTTATTAATTATAAATAATGAAATATTAAGTCACTAAAATAAATTAAAATTATAACAATAATTACTTGAGTCGTAAGTTTTTTGCAACGTGAAGTAACTTTTGCTAAATCTACTTTAATACTTGACAACATGACATTATGATCAGTCAAAATAGACCCAATTTCATTCAATCGATCAACTCTAGATTGTGGATGGTTTCTAAGACAATTTTCTAAATCCTAAAATAAATAAAAATATAACTTGCAGATTAATGATTTAAGTAAACTCAGCTATAATAACTTAAACCATTAAATACAGTTAATAGATAGAACAGTTAAATCTTAATTTTTAATAACTGGAATTGTATTTAAACTTTGCAGTTTTAATTTACGTTAAGAAGGTGACTAGTACAATTCAAATTATTATCAAAATATAATAAGATTAGGCAGCACACCAACTATAACTTGAGGAGCAGAGATCTCATTAAAAGACATATCTATATATCAATATCTACTATGATATGATAATGTTTAGTAATTGGGTATCATTCCTTATGACCAGATCATTATAATTGGCTTTTATCCTATGAAACTTACATATACAGTATCATTCACACCATAAAAAAAAATTTTTATAAATGAAATTGGTTTATTATTACTTTTGAGTAAAAATGGACTCAACTAACCTATGTTATTTAATACATTTTTCAGCAATAATTATGACATATTATAAAATAAAGTTTAAATTAATGTATTCAAATGATTTATTGATATTATACATATATTTTCAAATTAATTTTAAATAAAAATGTATAGTTTATAGAAAGTTTAAATACTTACATCGAGCTCTTCAGATATTTCTTCAGCATCTGTTGCTATAGTTTTCACACTTTTTTTAAGACATTTATCCAATTTATCAAGCCATACATTTTCTTGAGACATTAAAACTATAAATATAAGACAGATAATTTATATACATGACGATAAATATGGGTTAATATTGAATTCATTTAAAGTAAAGTTCTCGATTTATTAGCCAATTCATGAAATATAAAAAATTGTATATACTTATTAAAATAGTATATTATATAAGTTAAAAAATGTCTTAGAACAAATTTTTCTTAAACATTTAAACACATAAAAACTGGGAAAATGAGTAAGATATATTAAATTAACCATCACTTCATGAACATTTTAAGTATAGAATAATAATCAATAGTAATTAAATATTTTTTTTTATATAATATTCAAAAAGGAATTAATAGATGTAAACCTTTAAACTCAGAGTGAAGCTGTACATCTTGTTGCAAACGATTTCGAATAAGTTGCACACCATCAAAAACTTTATTCCATTTTAAAATTAAGATCTTGATGTTATCATCTTGACTTTTTTCTATATTGAAAATAATTTTGATCAAAATCAAATAATAGGTGGTATAAATTAAATACTTACCAAGTTTTTCTAATTTTGGTTTTTTCTCCAAAAGTTTATCATGTAAAGTATGATACTTGTTTTTTAATTTAATAAGTTCACCAGCTGAACCCACAGGATCATTATCTCGATAAGAATGACATTTTTCAACTTCAGATACACATTTTTTGATTTCAGTGAAATCCTGAATAGTTTGAAATAGACTTCAATAAATACTGAATTAATTAATAAAGATAATATCTATAATTTTATCATTACATTTTCTAAAGTTTTTAATCCTTCAATAGCAATATCTTCCTTAAATTTCACAATTTTATTTAATTTTTCTTCAATAGACTCTAATTTCTGATTCATTTGAATCTTGAATTCAGAATCCACAGAATACTCAAAAATGTTTTTCATATCAACATGAAGCTTCTCATATAACTGAGATACAGAATCACAAACATCCTGAAAATTAGAAATTCATAAATATTAAAATATTTTGATTCCATTTTCAAAATTTTATACTCATACATTAATCATTTTTAAATCGGGTTGATCACTTTGAGAATTATAATAATTAAATAGATCTTCACTTTGTTCCATTAAATCTTCTAATGTCCTAAAATTAGATTCTAATTCTCGAACTAATAACAAATCTAATTTTATCAAAATACATAAATTAGTGTAGGTATTAGGATTGTATCTTAATATGAGGTATTGATAAGATACAAAAGATGTAGGTATTATTATTATAAAATACCTTTTTGTAACTTCATAATCCGTTCATCTAAAAGTACTGGAATATCACTCCATCTTGTATTTAAGTCTTGAAGGTCTTCAGTTAGTCTTTCTACAGCCAATTCACTGTTGAGTTTCTCTAAAATATCTTGCCCAAGTGTATTTACCATTTCTAAAGTATCACGGCGATCATTTATTGACTTTTGCATTTCCTTTAATATTTTTAAATCAATACAATTAAAATCTGGGAAATTATATAATAATTAAAAATATTAAATCTTTACTATCAGTTGTTCTAATTTATCGGTTAAAACACTTGAATAATTCATTAGAACAGGTTCACCCAGTAATACTCCTTCTAATTTGTTAATCCAACCAGTAAGTTCTTCTTTTGATTCTTTAAATTTTGTATTTGAATTAGTTTCTTGTGATAGTTTTGCTTGTATTTCATAAGAAGAAAATCTAAAAATAAAATTGTTTAATATATAATACTAAGTACTATTTTGTTTTCAATCTATAACAGACTTTTCATTTAGTAAATTCCAACTAGTAAAGCATTTTTGAATTTCATTTCTTAATAACTCTTCAGGATCTAACAGTTCACTATTAGCATTTAATTTATTTATACGTTCTTGAAGTGATTTTAGTGATTTTAATTTTACCTAAAAACATTTAATATAATTACCAATAACATTAACTCAAAATTAAATGTTTATGCTCACCTTTATTTGTTCAAAAGTACAGTTTCCACTATCTAACCATTTAGCGTAACCATCAAGTATTAATTTTAAATTGTTCATTTCTTTTGTCATTTGTTTTTTTTCAATGTTATATTTTATTTTATTTTGGAATGTTATCAAAGAAGATTCTAAATCATTAAACTCTTTACACAGTTTATTATAATCATCTAATTTAGGAAATGGAGTATTATTACCTTAAGAAAAATAAACAGACATAATAATGTTATAAATAGTAATTAAAAATAATATGAATCTTACTTTCACTATTTGTTATAAATTTACTAGCAAAATCTAACTGTGATTTTTGAGAATCTATTTCAGACATAATATCTTCATACAAAGCAGCTTGTTCTTCTACTTCTAATGGTTCATCAAGTAGCTTATGAGTTCTTCTTAACCAGTTACTTAAATTTGATGTAGCATTTTCATATTCATCTTCTTGAAAAGATCCACCTTTTCTTCTACGTTTCCAACCAAATTCCTAAAAAATCATATTATATAATAAAAAAAAAAGGTATCAAAATCAATAATGTAAATACATACTTCAATTTCTGTTAAATTTAGATTACTATCAAATGAATTATCATCTAAAACTTTATCATCAGCTTTCTCTGTTTGGGAATTAGTTATTAAATCAAATTCAAATCCAGCATCAGATATCTAAAAAAAAATTAAAAAATTATGGTCTGTTATTTTAAAATAAAGTTTAATTTGATTTATGGGTATATCATATATCCATTTAAATATATTTTAATAAAATATTTAACTATATTTACTATATACCTACTAAACTAATATTTTTATTTTTTGTAAACATTGAATGTTAATATTTTAAAAATATTTTTTTTATATATATTATTAGTAATGCAGAATTAAAATAATTAGATTTATTTTTACTTAGTTATAAAAAAATTTAAAAAAATCATTAAGACAAAATTAAAAGGTAACTCTAAGAATCAGCTTGCTAAATGTCTAAACATAAAAATTAAACAAAAAATTATAAACGACAATTAATTGTTATTAAACTCCGAATCAGTTACCCAAAAACTTATTTTGAAATAATTTTTTTCAACATAGTACCTTCATTAATTGACAGGCTAAGTTGAGTTTGTGAAACAATTAAAGATTCCCCATCAAGCTCTATTATATAATAATTATTTTAAATTTTAATTAACAAATAAAAATATTTATTCAATGAACTGTAATCTAGTATTTTGTTTTAAATTTTTTTTTTTCAAAACTTTATTTATAGGGAATTAAAGGAGCCAATATTTTTTCATAATAATATATATATTACATATACTATACATGTAATACAGTCACAAACTATTAATTACTAAAAAATATCAGTAAAAACTTGAAGGTAAAATATACAAAAATAACTAATCAAAACTATTTAAAACTTTTTCTGTATTAGTCCATGTATTAATTATTGAATACAATATACATACTCTTTGAGCTTGTATTTCAATGATTTGTACTAAAGCATCACATCTATCTTGCAGGGTTTCTATTTTTTCTGAATATGGTGAATCATCTATATACAAAAATTCCTCTTCCAAATTTTGAATTTTAGTTTGAAGATGATTAATATTTTTTTGTTGACTTGACATCTGATGACGTAATGTCTATAAGTAATTATTTGATAATTAAATATATTTCACAAATATAACTTATAGATAATTATTACTTGTAATTGTTTGATCCTCTCTAAAATTTCTGCTACTTCAGTTACATGTTTGGATTCCATATGTTTAAGACTCACTTCTTTAGAGTCAAACCATGACTGTAACCATGATAATTGCTCTGTGATTCGACTACACTTCATTAATAATGTCTGTAACTTAACACCATATTCTTCAGCCCACTTACAAATATGAGCCCAACGTTCACCTAATGCTGATAATTCATCTTCCATTTGGACATGCACTATGAAAATTAGTTAACTTAAATAAAGCCTACACTGGCAGTTTTTATATTGATGATTTTTATAGTGATGGCTGATCAATAAAAGAAAATAATAATTAAATGTTATAATTATTTATCAAAATAATGAGCTTACCAGAATCAGTGAATGTATTTTCATCGATAACCACAACAAGATTGGATAACGAATCAACTGATAATTGTTGTTTTCTTAAATCAGCTCGAAGTGCAGAATGTTCTTCTAACTGTGAACGTAAACTATCAACATCCATTTTTGCTGATTGAGATAATCGTGAAATACGATCTTCAGTTTGTGTCAACCACAACCGTAATTCATCCAACTGTTTTTGCTGTATTCCCATTAAACATTCATGTATTCTAAAAAAAAAATAATAATAATAATAGTATTTTTCAGTTTGTAAGAATTAAATCATTTTAAATTTACTTTGTTTGCCTCTCCATGGCAGTAATTCTCAGTTTTTCCCATCGTGAATTTAACAATTTCATTTGAATACGAACTTCTTCTTCTTCTTCTTCAGTTAAACCACCATCAGCTAACATTTTAGCACCTTCTTCTAATACAACACCAACACCTTCTTGGTGATGCCTCAATTCAATAAGAAATTTCTTCAAAAAGTTAAAAAAAAATATATAATTTTATTTTATTAATTGATGAAATTATTAATTATTTTACTTCGTGCAGGTGAAATATTTCCCTAACACCCTCTAGTTCTTCAGGTAATTTTTCTGACTGATGTAAACGATCTTCAGCTTCAAGCAACCATGTTAAAACTTCTTCTAATGCAGTTTGATAACCACCAAGCTCAACAGAAATATTTGTTAACATACTTAAAGGCCTTTCATCAGTATTTTTCGATGTATCATCAAACTAAATCAATATTTTCATCATTTTAGTTATAATAATACATAACTAATTTTTTTTTCTTTATTCTTACTTGCAACTCAGATTTTGAAGCTCCTATGTCATCTGAATACTGAGATAATCTTTGAAATAAGCACATTACATACATCATAACAGATTTTTTATCAGGTACAGATGTATTAACATCTAAACAATATAAAACAAAAGACTATTAATACTTAAAATATTAAAAATTATTAATTTTTGAAATACCTTCAGGATCTAACAAACGTTCAATATTTAAATGAGAATAAGAAGCAGCAAATATATTTTCAAGTCTAGCATTTGGATGTTGTTTTAGTACTGAATCATAATCTACAAGATCTGGTCTAAATTTGTGAATTAATGCATTGAATGCTAACCCATCTGACCAACTTGAAGTAAAATTTTTAATATCAACTCCATAACCCTGCAATTTTTAGTAATATTTAATAATTTTCATTAAACAGATCAATATTCTTACTTCTGTATTTTTACGACACCAAGCTAACAAAGTTTTTTCTAAATTTGTTTGCTGTGATTCCAACATTAATTCTTTTAAATGAAAATCAACCTAATAAATCAAAAATAACTATTAGTAAATTATTATTTATAAAATTGTATTAACATTATTAAAATTTTTTTCAAAATTACGATTAAAAAAAATAAATAATTTACCTGCCAATGTAATATTATACTCCACACTAAGCCCAGAATAAGCTTTGGGCTACCATCAACTATATCATTACTACTTATATTAACTAATTTCACCTGAAAGTCAATACTAGAATCAATTGATAATTTATCACAATTGTAGTTTTATCATAAAAGGAAATATAAATTATGTTTAATGATGAATCAAAATGTTGTAAAACTTACATTGTTTTGATCCAATATTTGTAAAGCTTTATTTACATTATTTAAGTGATGAACTCTCATACAACCTTTTTCAGGTTTCTATTACAAAAATAAGTTTTATTATGTATGAATAAGACATGCAATGTAAAATTACTCACTATTTGTGTGTTAGTTAAAATTTCTAACAAATAAAGTAATTTAGTGCCATTTTGTAAATCCAAAAATAAATCTGATATAACTTCATGATTTTCCTATAAATATAATTTAAAATGTAATATTTGAAACATTTTTTTAAAAAAATAAAAGAACCATAAATTATATAACTCACTTTTGATAATTGTGAATTTATCCACTTGGTGAATGTTTTCTTTTGAACATCTTCACGTTCATCTATAATATAAAATAATATTATTCATGAATATTTTAAAATGTCTAATCTCCAATTAGATTAGTACGCCTACATATTTACATGGTAACACTGCATTGTATATTGTTTTATACATAAATACACCTACATATTTTTTTCAACAAATAACACAATAGTATTTGACAGATAAATTGCTTAGGACTTTATGGGAATTAAAATATAAATCAATCGACTTTCAAAAGTAATAATTAATTATCATCTACAATTCTAAATATATTTATAACTAATTGATAATAAGTAAAAACTTAAATGATTTAAGGTTTTTGGTAGATATTAAATAAATGTTTAAGATTCTAAAACAATTGAAATTAAAAACATACATTTGCTATAACAATATAGTTATTTATCAAATATTTTTTATAAATTTAAATATTTTAAAATTATACACACAAATACTTTGGTTCTTAGAAAAATTAATAACAACAAAAATTACCATTATTTACATAAAAGTGACATACCAATAAGAAATTAATACAAGTAGACTTTTAATTGTTAGTAATATTATTGGTTAAGAGGTATCTTATTTGAAACTATCTTAATTCATATAGATAATAATACATCAATAGTTAACATTTTCAACGATTTAATAAATATAGTTCATATAAAGAGTTCTGATAAAAAAAAAAATTAATGTTTTTTATAGATAAATGAATATTTATCTTATCACATTTGAAAATATTTTGCAAGAAAACAAAAAAAAATATTAATTTAACAAATATCATTATTAAAAACAGGCATTCAAGTTTATAACATTTTTGTTTGTCAATATAGATTTTTCAATGAAAATTTTCTTAGTGCACAGAATAGCATCATACATTGAACTAAAACTTTAATTTTATTAAATTATGTGAAGGAGAGAGCAGTTTTGAGTAATATAGTATGTAATATAAGTCTTAAATTAATCAAAACATTACTGTTTATGTACAATTAATATTATTATTATAATACAAAATTGTATAAATAAATGTATAATTTTAGTATTAAGTTATATATAATGAATACATACAAGTAATAATGTATATTTTTCTAACTTTTAAAAAAATAATATTTAATATCTTTAATCTAAATTTTATTTATGTTCATTTAAACTTTCGATTTTATCAAAAATAACATTTTAATGGTTAAATTAAAAATTAGAATACATTTTTATTAAATACTAACCGTTATATTTTACTTTCATTCATTAGAGAATATAATTTATACTTGAAATGTATTAGAAATAAATATATATTAATATATTTATAATAACTTAAATACATATTTAAAAATAAATTTATATTTAGCTTCAACTAACTATACCTAATTTTAATAAAAATAAAATAACAACATTTTAATAGCAATTAATTATTATTGATGCCAAATATTTTCAGCAAAAGTAACCTTTTTATTCTATATTTGAAATACTTAAATGAAGTGCCTACCTATTGTAACAACATTGAACTTTCACAGTCTTTACCATATACTCTTAAGAAGTAATCTAATATTTTTTTGTCTTTGACTTTACCAAATAACAATTAAGCAAATTGCAATCAATAGATAGTTAAAACAGTTTTCTTTCTAAATATTTATTGTTTATATTCTATACACAGAAAGCCATGGCATGTATAAAGTGAATGTGTATTTTTACTATGTTACAAGAATATGAACTGACATTTTATGTTAAGCTTCAAAAATAAAATGTTAAAATATTGGGTGCACAGCAGTAAATAGAATATTGACAAACAAAAACTGTCCAGGCTACCAACTCGGTCAACGAAGACACACTTGAAGTGATTTAATAGTAAACTAGAGCAATAGTATATAATAAAATATTATGAATCCTACGTACCAACGAGTATGTTGTCCACGGTAGCCATTATCATGGGTGACACCCGGCAACGGTATAGTAACAACAAAAATTCGCCAAGCGAAATGAGCAACAGGTGTCCGTGTCGTGTCACATCGTGCGCTGCGAGGGTACAACGTACATCGCTGCTAACACTTGTGATTAATTCAAAAAACCGTCACACGGCTCGAACTACGCTGACCGATAAACACGGAATGTAAACTGCAGGATGATTATTTCGGATAACGTCGTCAATGTTGAGTGAAATCGAGAACCATATCTCTGAGACAAATATGACCCGGATCATCGTTTATCAATAACATCATAATATCGTTACTTTCGGAGAAAAAAAAACATTCGCTATACTCAATAAGTGGTGTTACGGAAAAATAATAATCGGCCGACTTGATGGTTGTGCTTTGTACGCTAGATGCCTTTAGTGGCGCGTGTTGTCGTTCCCTCCCACACCACCGCCCGTCCACTAACCGTGTAATCTCGCGGACGTCAAGCGTACCTACGTATGTTGTTTTTAATATCGTACATTAAATTTAATAATAATAATTGACAATGCACCGCGGTCCGCTGTAGTGAGTTCCCTTCACACTCTATTCTCTCCCCATTATGTCATCCCCATCAACGTTGTGCCTGCGTTGTTGTCATATTTTTAGTACATAACGTACACACGCACATACGCTATACATCATATTTTTCTTATATCAAGTCGGCACTCGTCCCGAACACTTGCACACGACACTCGCCGATCGTTGTTGTTTTTCTAAACACACACACGCACAACATCATACGCTATCGCTCTCGACAATGTCGTATCGTCGTGCACTGCTACTCGCAGACGTTGGACCGTCGCCGCCGTGCCGTACGTTCTGGTGGAAAAATGTGACGATAGTGTAAAGACGTGACCGTGTCGTCCCGGGCGACTGCTCTACCGTTGACGCCGCTGCCGCCACTGTTGGTGAGTTATTTACCTGTCCGTTCGCGTATCGCACAGACTTCCGGTACCCGTCACCTTAATGGCTGTACGAACGGGCGTGCGTTTACCCCACAAGCCGTGAGATGAAAGCAATAAACGTCCCGATAACGTCACCGACTTACGTATGTATTCTGTGTTTTTGGTAGACCGTCCCAGAACGTACATCTATTGTCTAAAGATCGTTTCACAAAAGTGATAACAAGTATAAATATTTACCTCGCGTACCTATATAGATATTTACATTTCAATAGTGTAACATATGGATCAGGAGTGTACAACAATAATTAATTGGCGACTTCCATTCAATTAATTTTAATAATACTCTATTAATTCAACAATATTATTTATTTTTTATTGCAAAACAAATTATCATTACCATCCAATCTCAGCTATGTTCCTATCTACCTTTGTCAGATTTGTTTTCCCATTACATTACTGCTTCGTTTTGTGAATGTATTTTCTTCTTTTCTGTTAATATATGTGTATCAATTAATCTCTAAATATTGATTTTTTGCAGTTTTATTTCCTTAACTAATTCTTATAGTAATTATAATCATTATTAAGGATCAATAATAATATATTTTAATTTCAATATAGAATTACTGTGACTAAAAAATAATTGAATTTGATTTATTGAACATTATGATTATCTATCTTAATTTTCTTCTAGTAAAATTTTCTGTTACTATTAGCATAATATCAAAAATATTGTTTTTTGATTTAAAACTTTAGTAAAAAATTGAAGTATTAAATTATAGGTTTATTAATATTATAGTACTTGTTATAAATGGTGTTCTGTAAATTTAAGTTTAAACTCTTACAGAAAAACAGGAAAATATAAAAATATAATCTTTTATAGATATTTCATATTAGCATAAGTCTCAATATTTTATCTGTGCTTCAAAGATCACTAGAAAGAATCATGGTAGTTTGCTGCCAGATATTAACTAAAATATTAATATGTAAATATTTATAATTAACCTAGTATTTAGAATGTATATAAAGTCTCTTACTTACATTAAATATTAATTTATATCAAGTGAACTATCAGTTCTTCCATCATAGATTATTAATGTATTAATTATTAGAAAATATACTATTCAGACTTCTTTATTTAATTTAAATACATTAATACTATTATTAGCTGCTCCACAAAACAATCATGCATTTGATTTAAATGTTTTGTTTAAACTGTGATTATTTTCAGCATTGTTTCAGTTACCAATTATGGACAATGATATATTGGATGAGCGGTCAAGAGAATTTTTAGAAACTGCAGATGAATATATAACTGAACATGGACATCAACATGTGTCAGAAGAAGATAGTAAACAGCTTGCTAATAATCAACACAATTTGCCCGAAGAGTTTCGTATTGGTGATTATTTTAATAGATTTTCTATTAATTTTAAAAATTCAATAATAAAGTGACCTTTATTTATTCAAAGATGAAAATGAAGAATTGTCTCATCATACTACTGCATATTATGACACAAGTGATATGTTGTCTGGTGATGGGTCTGCAACACTTACAGAAGATGACCATCGACTAGCTAATGAATTAGCTGCTGAGCTTGCCCAACAAAACAAATCTCTTGTTGATGGTAGCCACCATGATACTCATCTCATGACTAGCTATTTGTACAGTACTGATTTTGATTTAAACACAAATGGTAAACATTCATCTCAAACATCAAATCATATCAATAATCAACAGGTTAGTATTTTTTAAAATTCTATTTTTATTTTTTATTTTTTAAATGTTTCTTTTATGTAGATTATTAGTTCAGAAAGTTTAATTGAAGTTGAAGTATCAGAGTCAGATTACCATGCAGAAATACAACATAATTTACCACACAAAAAACGTTTTCGTAAACGAGAATCTGCTCCGACTCCAATGAGAAGTATTCATCCAAAATGTTATAAATGTAAACAATGTGGTGAACAATTTAATTCTCAATCTGCGTTTACTGTAATTTTTACCTTCCATAACTATAAATTAATGCATTTATTTAACTACATTATATTTATAGGCACATAGAGCAATACATACCCCTAAAAAAGTTGGTGGTCGAATGCCATTTTTATGTGAAATATGTGATAAACATTTTACACATCAAATAAAATTTTTTGAACATTTAAAGTATCATTATGAACCACAACAAAGTAAAGTAATAGTAGTGACAACTGAATCTGGTACTTCTCCACATCATGTCAATTATCAAAATCATGTTGCTCAAGAATCAGCAGATAATAATGAAAATCATTATATTGAAGAAACTATCGAAGGTCAACCTGAACTCCATGACCTACCTCCACTTCAAAGTTACAGAGTAAATTTATTTATTATTTTGGTTAATGTTTATATTGAATTGATATTTGCAAAAGTTTTAAATTAAATAATATCAATTGTATCCTTTTAATAGTTAACTGAAGAAGAAAACATGGAGGATGATAAACATTGTTTGTTTTCATCTGATGGGTCTATATTGGCTGCACAACTTCAACAGCCATTTCCTACATGCCACCTCTGTGGTAGAAATTTCCGTCGTCTAAAAGCATTAGAAATACATATGGCTTCTGTACATCCTCAACCTGCAACTGTTGTTACTGTTAAACAAGACTGTTTGGAAGAGTTTTCTGATCCTGAAGATCTAATGGAAGGCATTCGTCACATGGTGCCTGGTGTTGCTGATACTGAATCTGAAACTGACGAAAAACCACCATTACAAGAGTAAGTGTATTAAAATAATGATTTTTATATATTTTTTTTTGTATTCAACCTTATGGTTGATTTTGCAGTCATATATGCTCTTTTCCCTGTTCCCAGCTAACCTCTTCAATTCAGTGTAGCTTTATGGTCTTGCATCAGAAATCATTTGTTCCACAAATAAAGTTCTCATATGTCTTTGGTCTCTCTTTCCTTCAATTATTTTATAAATTAATTAATTTTTGTGTCTTAAAATGTGACTAATTATGTTCTATCATCTTGCTTAGATGATGGTTTTGAGTATCTCTCTGCATTCCTCTATTTCTCTAAGTTTGCTTTCGTTGGTATGGTGTTTTATCCAACTCACTCTTACTATTCTTCTAAACACCACATTTTAAAGCTTTTGAGAATTAATTGTTCTGTCTTAATTAATATCCAGGTTTGGTATAGTTCCACATTCCATACTTATATTTTTATGAAACTTTTCTTTATCTCAATACTCATGTTATTGGAGCATAAAAATGTTCACTTATTCATAAATGCTGACTTTGCCTGTGAGATTCTGAATCTTATTCCCATGATACATTTCCTATCTTGGTTAATTGAGTTGCCTAGGTATTAAAAATGTTTCACTTATTCAAGCATTCGAGTTCTTGCTTGGATATTAATCCTATGAATTCGGTCTAATTTTTGGTACTTCATAACTTTAGTTTTTTGTCAGTTTATAAATTGATATTTATGGAAGCATCTCGTCATCTTTTACAGTGCTTTTTCCAAATCATGTTCATTATTGGTTAATAGTGCAATATAGTCAGCAAATCTTATTAAAGATATTATTTTTCCACTCACTTTTACGCCTATTTTATTTTTGAGAAATGTTTTCTAATTTCATTAATATGCTGTTCAACATAAATATTAAATAGACTTGGTGAGAATGGACATCCTTGTCTTACACCATTCCTAATTCTAGCTTTCTCTGTTTTGTCATTTGCTTTTATTGTAGCTGATAGGTCTTTTTATAAATTATATAATATTATTCATTTAATGTTTAAACTAATATTATAGATGTATATTTGAGACATTATTTTTTCAATGTAGCAATAAGTAAAATAAATTCAAAAATAGGGAGTGAATGTTGATCAAGTAAATATACAAATGTCCTCTCCTTCCTATTTTTATTCCTGATGAATGTATATCACTGGTTGCTTTTTACAATTTTAATACATTCAGGTATTTTATCTGTTAGTATATTATAAAAACAATGGTTTAACAAATATGTTACAGTTGGGAATATAATGGTGAAAGCAATACAAACCATGAAGATACTACAATTAAACCAAAACAAAAAGAAAATAATTGTTTATTGAATGAAAATGATGATAATGGTGAAAATAGTCGGGCTGAACACACTTGGGAAGATGATACAGATGAATTGGAACAGATAATGAAGAAAAATATATCAAAAAATCTTGTGTGTACTCAATGTAAAAGAAAATTTAATCATCGAAATTCTCTACTATATCACTTAAGATCACATTCTGGTAAACGACCTCATAGCTGTAAACTTTGTCCTAAAAGTTTTTTTTCGAGCAGTGCCCTCAAGGTATTTCTTGCTTTTATTCCACAAATATGAGACAACTTGGTAATATAGTTAAGTTTTGTTAAAATATATTTTGTTTATAGGTACATAATCGGCTGCATACAGGAGACAAACCTTTTGAATGTGAATGGTGTGGACGGAATTTTCGACAATGGGGTGATCTCAAATATCATATTGCTTCATTACATTCAGAGTCCAAACAATTTCAATGTGAATTTTGTGGTAAAGACTTTGCTCGAAAATATTCGTTGATTGTTCATCGACGAATACATACCGGAGAAAAAAATTATATATGTGAATTTTGTAAAAAAACATTTCGAGCATCATCTTATTTACAAAATCATCGTCGAATTCATACAGGTTTGAAAAATTTAAAATGATATTTTAATAGTTATAATAATTTTGTTTCTTAACTCAATGAATTATATTTTTAATCAGGTGAAAAGCCTTATAAATGTGAGACTTGTGGTAAAGCATTCAGAGTACGCTCAGATATGCGAAGACATACTGTTGTACATAGAAAAGATGCTGTTAACTCTGTTCAAATTAGTAGTTATACTGGTCCCGTGAATGATATTGTCACTTCTTCTGATATGAGTATCCATTTAACCAAATTAGAAGTGAAAGAAGACAAAATAACTACAGAATCTGACGTTGATGTAAAATTCCATGAAAACTTTTCTCATAATTCCAATCAACTATTATCTGCTGATGGAGTTAGTGCACCTCTTAATCTTAATTTACGAGCTCAAGATAATGGTGAAAATGATGAATCTTCTCATTTTGAACAATTTAACAGCCGTCAAGATATGATTGATCGCGATACAAATACTTTATATGTTTGGATTCCAACAAATACTGAACAACTATTACAAAGTGAATAATTTAGTTTCTAATATCCAAAGATTTATATGACTATTATTTTGTTGAATTTTTGAAAGCGTGGTCATGGAAGTCATCAAAAACTCAAATAATTTTACTCTTTGTTAAAATAGATTTTCAAGAGTTTTTATGTGTTGTTTATGTCTGTTTCTAAGTCTGATATTATGAAATTATTTTGATACATTTTAATTACAAAATTATATTTGATTAATTTCTATCCAAATATTAATCAAATGAGAAAACATTAACAAGGTAAATTCAAAATCACCCTCTAAACCATTTTATAAGTGTAAACATTTGGGGCTACAAAACTTATTATGTGTAATGTATTAACACAATTTGTTGAGTATTTATTAAAGATTTAATTATAATACTCTATTATTAACAAGTGTTGAACTTTTATAGTTTACCAAAATATTAAAAATTAATCACCCAGTGGCTTTTATTTATATTTTAAAAAATAACCTATGTTTATGTAACTACATTTCATTCATTTTTTAAAAACTGTTAGTAATTTATTGATACCATTTTAAAGTATTAATAATTATTTGTGAAAGAAAATTTAAACATTTAGATAATCTATTAAATTACTGTCCAAATGTGTATCATATAAACAATAACAATTTTAAAATAAACTAATACAGTAACTCTAATAATATTAAAAAAAAAAATTTTTTGATAAATCATAAGTTGACTTTTAGCTTAAATACATATATGATATATTTTTTAAACCTAGTCTATAAATGTAAAATTAGAAAAAAATTATAATTTGTTTTTAATTGGTTAAAAGCAACACATTTTTATTTTATTTTTTATATGAGGTCATAAAAATAATTACATGTTTATGAAATTTCTTGATTAATATTGTATGAACATTGATATTTTGATGCTGGACTGCAATTTAATTTCTGGCTGTCATAAAAAGTTTTTTGGTTATTATATTAAGGTTTAAGATATTCAAAGTAACTAGAGGGCCATATTTTATAACTTCAAAATCTGGCGGGCCATAGCAAAAAAAATAAAATTAAAAAAAAGGTCATTAAAATCGATTGCGAGCATTTATTTTAATTAATTAAATTTTATGACTGAACCAATACAATAAAGTAAGTGCCTATAGCTAAGTTAGCTATGTCATATGGATATATATTATATATAGACATTCAATGATTAATAAATTATGATAACAGTTCGTGTTCTACCACCGACTGTACAACACGTGTGCTCGCCGATGACGTTTTATAGCTCTCGATAGCACGTACATACTCCACGGCTGGTGTTACCAGGTAATAATATGATTATACACCCAATTAATCACGTTATATAACACGGTCGCCTTTATTCATAATTAAAATGAATAGAAACTCCTTGGGCGTCTCGCCCAACACCAAAACTATTCTACAAACTAAATCCCTCACCACCAACATGTCAAAAAAACCAAGTGCTTTACCTACACAAAAAAATCGCAATTCATCATCTACGAATTCATACCAACACAACATATCCAACTCAAAAACAAACCCGATTTCGAACGATAAAAATTTGCGATCTAACCAAACCCCCCTTTCCCGTCCCATCGATAACACATCAGTGTTTCTGTTGCTATCGCAAATCAATTAACTAATGACTCCCTATCGTTAACGGAACACTACTCAACCCGCATCTATCTACACCAGTGTTTCTCAACCTTTTTTAAGTTACCGCCCCCTTGAGTGTCAACAAATTTGTTAACCGCCCCTACAATGTAAGAACTCTATAATTAAGGGTATTTGGAAAATTTAAAAGAAAAAATTGAAATGATCTAATAACTCATGTTTTTATTTATAGAACTAGTATTATGGAAATTAATTTAAAAAAAATGAATATTGATAAATAAATAAATAAATATTAAATTAATTATTTAAAAAAATATAAATATAAATACATTTTTTATTTTCTTTAAAAATATATTGCTAGGCTTCAATGAGATGGTTGAACTTGGTGAACTTTAGCAAGTTTTTTTATATTAGGTTCGATGTTTGTTAGCTTAAGTCGTAAATCTCCTCTTGTCACGATATCCAGTCGGTTCCTTTTTTTTTGTAATCAAATCTGTTACAGTGCTGAACCCTCGCTCGACGAGGTATGAGGAAGGAAAGGCTATTAAAAATTTTTTAACGAGAGACCACAGTCCAAGATAATTATGAACTATGTTAGTTAAAAGCCAAAATTCCGTGAGCCGGTCACTACCTTTGAAACTGGATTTCAATGTTTCATCAGTTGAAAGTTCGATTAGTTCTTCTTAAATTTGTATCTCTGCTGTCTCAATATTTATAAAAGGATTCATGACCCATTGAGGAACTTCCAACGACAAAATATCCTTAAAACGTTCTGAAAAGTCCATATGTAAAGACTCGAGATGTTGACAGTAAACTTGTATGTTGTCGAAAGATATTTCACTGTTTTTGTGCAGATCAGCCAAGACTGGGAACTGGCTGAACTCTTGGCGACCAAAATTGGTCTTCCACAAAGTCAATTTTTTTTGGAATGCAGAAATAACCGATTTTGACGTTATTAAATTGAGCTCGTCACCTAGCAGTTGCAAATTAATGGCATTAAACTTTGCATATAAATCGGTCATATAAGCAACATCGCTTTTAAATAGTAACAACCTGTCTTTGAGCTTTACATCTTTCTCTTCAAGAAACTCAAGCACGGAATCAAAAAGATTCCAAACCCTATTGAGGCAGGCACCTTTGGAGAGCCAGCGAACTTCGGTGTGTAAAAGCAAGCGATTGAATTCTTCGTCGTTTTCCTTGCATAGCTTTGTAAATAGTCGATTGTTCAACGAATTACTACGAATTTTATTCACAGCAAATATAACATATTGTAATGACTGATGCAAACGATCACTGAGGTTTTTTGCAACTAAATGTTGTCTGTGAATGACGCAGTGAATAGCTAAAATACCGGGTATTTCATTTTTAAAAAAAGCTATGAACCCACGATGACGTCCTACCATTGCAGGTGCTCCATCAGTGGCAATAGATATAACGTTTTTAAGAGGAATATTTTTTTCTTTAAAAAAGTCTTTGACTATATTGAAAATAGATTCACCTTTAGTGTCAGTAATCAAGGTCCTTGCAAAAAGCATTTCTTGAACGATTTTTCCTTTGTTTACAAACCGGACGTATGCCAATAGTAATGCCTCATTATTCGGTAATGTTGATTCGTCGATTTGAAGTGAAAATTCGGTGGATACTAGAAGTTCACATAATGAAATTTCAACGTCTTCCGCCATTTCGTCGATTCGCCGTCGCACAGTATCGTTGCTTAATGGGACATTTTGTATTACACTGTGTGAGGCTGAATGGTGTAAAACCGTTTCTAAAATTTCTTTGACAGCTGGAAGTATTAACTCTTCGCCTATGGTATGGGCTTTTCCCGATTTTGCGATCAATTTCGATATATTATAAGAAGCAATCAAACCATCATCGCATTGTTTTGATGAGCCTGCGCATAAGCCTGAGACCGATGGTGCCTTCAGAAACTTGTCCCTAATATTTGTGAAAAACGAGCGTAGCAATTTTCGTCAGTCAAGAATACCCTAGCGAAGAAATACATATAACCACTGATATAGAAGCTGTCGCGGTATCCATAACATTACCCCATAATAAAATAACAATCTGCAACCTCTACCTCCCCAATCAAAAAAATTTCACACTCACTGACACAGAAAATATCACCCATCAACTCCAACAGTCGTTCATAATAGTCGGGGACTTCAACAGCCACAGCCCAATCTGGGGATCACATAAAACCGACACAAGAGGGAAAATAATTGAAGAGCTCCTAACTCAAGACAATCTAGTAACATTAAATACCGGCCTGCCCACCAGAATAAATCCCTCTGACGGGAAATTTTCTGCTATCGACCTTTCTATATCAAATACCTCCCTTGCACACAAACTTGAATGGAAAGTACTACCTGATATCTTCAGCAGCGACCACATTCCCATCCAAATAACATTCACTTACCCGTCAAACAAAGAAGACTTATGCTATCCGCCGAGATGGAAAGTTAAAGAAGCTAATTGGAACCTCTTCAATTCATTAATAGAAAACAGTATATCCACACTTGAACTCCCTACTAAAGAAAATATCGATGATAATGTAAACCAATTCTCAAAACTCATCACTGACACTGCAAAAATGTCCATAGGACTAGCCAACAACAAACCAAAACGACCTCAGGTTCCATGGTGGAACAACGAAATAAAAACATCTATTATAAATAAAAACAAATCCCTTAAAAAATACCAAAACACACACAGCTTAAATGACTTCGTAGAATTAAAACGAAATAGAGCGCGCACTAGATTTTTAGTTAAACTCAGTAAAGCCACATCCTGGAAAACCTTTACATCTAGCTTAGATAACCAGACTGATCCCTCAATAGTGTGGAGTAAAATAAAATCCCTCAAAGGAACCAATTGACATAGCAATATTCAACTTATATACAACTCTAAACTCATATCGACACCAAAGGAAGTGGTAAATTCTATTGGAGAATATTTTCAAAAAAATTCAAGCAATTCCAACTACGATGACGAATTCCTAATAAATCGCCATCGATACGACTCTCCACCAAACACAATCGACCCTAATGATACCAAACAAATCCTAATCAACTCCCAAATAACCATGGATGAATTGAAAATGGTATTGAGAACCAACAAAAGTAAAAGCCCTGGACCAGATGGCATCCCTTATATTTTTATCCAAAATCTACCCTTCAATGGTATCAAACACCTACTTGACATCTTTAACATTATATGGGTTAATAACGTATTCCCAAAACACTGGAGACATGGTTTTGTGATCCCAATCCTCAAGCCCAATAAGAATAAATATCTCACCGAAAGCTATCGCCCCATCACTTTATTTAGCACACTATGTAAGCTACTTGAAAAAATCATTAATCGTCGACTCATGTGGTTCCTTGAAAAAATTAAATACATATCTCCCGAACAAAATGGCTTCGGACAAAATAGAAGCACTCAAAACAATTTCCTAAGTATCAAAAGAGAAATCGAAATAGCTAATAGCAACAAACAAAGTTTAGGCATGATCAGCTTCGATATTGCCAAGGCCTACGACACCACTTGGAGACCAAGAATATTGTACATACTTAACAAAATAGTAAGTAAAGGGAACCTACTTAACTTCATCCAAAACCTATTACTTGAACGTTCATTCCAAGTTAAATAATCAAACTGCTTATCTGATACATACACACAATAAAATGGAGTTCCTTAGGGTTCTTCAATTTCCGTAACCCTTTTTCTGCTAGCCATTAATGACATTTCCAAGCAAACACCAAAACCAATCATTCCTATACTGTACGCTGATGATTTCTCCATTTTATGTCGTAGCAGCAGTCTAATAACAATAAAACAAATCCTACAAGATGCCACAAACTCACTAAGAAACTGGTCAAATTCATCTGGGTTTAGATTTTCAGCTGAAAAAACTAAACTCATTATATTCAACAACAAAAACAAAAATAAAATGTCAATTAGTTTGGGCAACCATATAATTAAAAATGACAAATATATTAAGATCCTCGGTATAAAATCCTCTGTGATTTTCTTTAAGTTGTAACTTTGTTCAATGTTTATTTATTATGGATCGATTTTTATTAAACAATCGTAAACGTACGAGTACATGTGAAGACGAAGAAATTTTACCATCAACCAATCGCGGTGAACCAGTAAAAAAGCGAAAATGTCGTCAGTATGATGATAGTTATTTGGATTTTGGTTTTACGTCAACAGAAATTAACGGTGAAGAGAGACCACTATGTGTAGTATGTATGAAAGTTTTGGCATCAGAATGCATGTTGCTGAGTAAATTGAAGCGCCATTTAGAAGCAAACCACAAGTATATGATTGACAAACCTCGAGATTATTTTATTAGAAAGTTAAAAGAACTAAAACAGGAAAAAAGTACGTTTTTCAAGAATGCATCAATACCAACCAATGCTTTGATTGCATCTTATAAGGTGTCCTATAGAATTGCGAAATGTAAAAAGCCCCATACCATTGCAGAACAACTTATCTTACCGGCTGCTATAGATATGGTAAATATTATGGTTGGTGAATCTGCTGGGAAATTACTCTCAAAAGTGTCTTTGTCCAATAATACGGTTAGCCGCAGAATTCACCATATGGCGGAGAACCTCAATCATCAATTGATAGAAAAAATCAAAGAAAGGGAATTTGGGTTGCAGCTGGACGAGGCTACGGATATTAATAAGGATGCTCATTTGATATGCTATGTTAGGTTTATAAATGATGATGTCATGGTAGAAGACCTACTTTTTTGTAAAAATATTACAGCAAGAGCCAAAGCTCAAGACTTATTTGATATTCTTAATAATTTTATGTCAGAAAATATGTTGGATTGGACTAAATGCGTCGGTGTTTGTACTGACGGCGCTCGTTCAATGTCTGGCAATTATGGAGGAATACAATCACTTATTAGAAGCAAAGCCCCTGATGCGCTGTGGACCCATTATCCATAGAGAAGCACTTGTGGCAAAATATCTAAGTCCCGCGCTGAACCAAGTATTAGAATGTGTAGTGAATGTAGTCAATTTTATAAAAACTCGTCCACTGAAAGCAAAATTTTTCAAAAAATTATGTGACGATAAGGGAGCTGAACACTCAAGTTTATTGTACTACAGCAGTGCACGATGGCTATCTTGTGGTAATGTTTTATCACGTACGTTTGAACTACGGCAAGAAATTTATATATTCCTTAAAGAAGAAGCGCACAAATATGCCAATGAATTTTCTGATGAAAATTTTTTTATAAAATTGGCATACTTGTGTGACATTTTTTAAAAACTGAATGCATTGAACACCTCATTGCAGGGAAATAATATGAACATTTTGAAGTCGATGGATAAAATGACAGCGTTTATAAAAAAAACTTAAACTATGGAGAAGACAAATGAATGAAGACACGAGCAAAGATTCTTTTTCCATATTGCAGCAGTTTCTGACCTCTAATAGAGTTGAGATTTCTCAAGATATGAAATCCATTTTTGAAAATCACTTATCACAGCTAGTGATATGGTTGGAGAAATATTTTAAAAATGAAGACACTGATAAATTTGCATGGATTCAAGATCCATTTAACTCCATTGTTCCATCAGAATTTATTTCTACTGAAGAAGAAAGTCTAATTGAGTTGTCTTGCGACAGTAGTTTGAAATCAAAATTTTTAAATATGGAATTGATAAAATTTTGGATTTCAATAAAAATGAATATCCCCTTGTATGTGAAAAAGCTCTACGTGTTTTAATTCCGTATTCTACTTCATATTTATGTGAAGCTGGGTTTTCGGCGGTCGCTGTGATAAAAAGCAAATATCGGTCAAAAATCAATGCGGAGAAGGAAATGAGAGTAGCAGTATCAAGTTTGATCCCAAGATTTGAAAAATTATGCAGTGATGTCCAAGCTCATCCATCTCACTATTCAGTTGTTTTCTACAAATAAACTATGTCTAATTTACTTTTTATCTAATAAAATTAAAATTAAATATTTCAGTGTATAATTATATAAAATAAATATTTCCATATTATCTATTGAAAATTATACATGTTTGTTATTTTATTTATTTTATTTAAAAAAAGGTCGTAAATTTTATTAAGGGCGCCATGAGTAGGAAAAGTTTGGGAACCTCTGTACTATTGTAATAATCTTGAGAAATTTAAATGTCATCTCCAATCTGATGAATGGCACAAGATTTATTGTACGACATATGTATGATCATTCTTTAGACTTGGAATCTATAACTGGTCAGCGTATTTTATTGCCTAGAATTGATTTGACCCCATCAGATTCAACTCTTCCCTTTTCATTTACCAGACGTAAATTTCCGATAAGAATAGCTTTTGCTATGACAATAAACAATACGCAGTGTCAAACATTGGATAAAGTAGGATTGTATTTAACCCATCCTGTATTTAGTCATGGTCAATTTAATGTTGCCATGTCCCGGTTAGATTTTTTGAAAAGTTTAAAATACAAATAATACCAAACAACAAAAAAATACAATGAATATAATTTATAAAGAAATTCTACAATAATAATACACAAATTTGTTGAACTTCATTTGTTTATCAATTTTTTTGTATATATTTTTGTTATATTTTTTTATACCTTTTATAATATTTATAAATGTAATTAAAGCTTAATAAATTAAATTATTTTCCATTTTATGTTTTTCCTATACGTTAATTGCACATTATTCTAATGATGTATACATGATACATCCTTTATATTTATTTATTATATACAGTTATTCAACTATTTGATTATTTTTTACCGTAATCCGGCAGTGACGGGTAATTTAGCTAGTTAATTAATTAAATACTGAAAATGAATTATAATTGAGTGGCTTATCATTTAATATTGATTTTTGATAAATTTACTATTAATGCTTAGGTATTATAATCATTTTAGGTATTTATTATAATTATAATCATTTTCTTAGGTATTATAATCATTTTTGGATTCTGTGTAAAACGAGGAATCTATTAGTTTTATCCTTATATTTGTTTTTTTTTTTTTGTGTCTGTGTACATGGTTTTGACCAAAAAAAGTTGGCATTATCAAATAAAAAGGAAATGGGTTCCAGTTTGTACTTTCAGGGAGTTATTTAATGATTTTCTCAAGTGTTTTTAATAATGGATAAATAGGGGGAGGGAGTGGAAAAATTAATTTTAACCGATATTCTAACCCTCATCACTAAAAATTGCATATTAATTTGTCAAGAACATCATTTTGTTTGAAAACAAACACATTTCGACAAAAAAGATTATTTCAATTATCATAATTTTAAGAAATTTATGATAGGAAATATTGTCTAATTGGTACTTTGAAGAAGGTCGTTTTACAAATTTCTTAAAATTGTGAAAATTTGACGAAAAGTTTTTTTAATTTAATTTTTTAATTTTTAATTTATTATAAAATATTACAATGTCTAAATAAAATTTTAGTACAATAAATATATATAACAAGGCCCGAGTTACATAAAAGAAAGAGTCCATTGACACCACTTAAAAAAAAAAAATATAAAAAAAAAAAAAATTAAAGTACCTAAAATATTGTCTAAGCTGAGTTAGAAAAGATCTAGTCCAATTTCTTTTAAGACGACGTAAGGGATTAATAGGTTTAAAAGGATTATGGTGAGTAGGTGGGTTAGGATGGTTTTGAGTATGATTGATGAATTTTGTGGAGGTGTCGTTTCTAATATACCAAGGAGTTCCAGTTATTATTTGTAGATTAATTTATTGGAAGGATTGTAAGATGGAAATATTTGGATTTTTGGCTGATCACCATAGTTGGACACCGTATGATAAGACTGGGCGTGTAATTCGTTTAAAAATTTATAGTTTGGTTTTAAGTGACATATTTGAATAGAAAAGATGCCTCAGGGAATGTAGACGTAGGTTTAATGATTTTTGCTTGTTTTTAATGTGATAGGCAGGGCTGGTCTTAGGGGTGGGCGAGCTGGACGCTGGTCAATATTTTATGGGCGTCTTCAAAGATCAGATATAATTTTTTAATAATAGTTTTTTGTAATTTAAATTATTTTTAATAATTCGAGTAAATACAATAATGTATAGAAAAAATTAAGACATCTTGAGAAAAACCATAACTGTCACAGACTAACGAAAATAGCTGAATCAATTATGAGGGTACTCCATCTTCATGCGCACTACATTTAAAAGTATATTTAACGCTTTTGTCTTCGTGGAAATTATGTTAGATTGTATTAGGCCAGTATAAACAAAAATAACTATATAGTTACAACTAGGTACTATTAAGATAGTAGGTACTGTCGTACTGATAATCTTATTTCTTGAGTCAGTGAGACAGGTACACGTACAATACCCGCCACAGTAGATAATCAGTTGTCCTACAATAATTTGTCCAAACACCTACGTAGTTTACCTGGTGTCGTCGAATAGTGAACATTAAATTTTTGTAAGTAATATTTTATATTCTAATATAATAATACTGCGCTATAGAGTATTATGCATGAATTATATTATACCATTTTAAATGTAATACCATTGATTACAGAATAGATTATCTATTCTATAATCAATGGTAATACTTTACACAATTACACTACAATATCAGTTGGAAAGAAATTTCTAATTCTTAAAATTATTAAGTATTATATCATTATAGTTCCTTATCCTTATATTTCTAGATTATATTTTTCGAAAGCGTATTTTATACATTAAATAAATTTTTAAATTTTAAACAATGGTACCGAAAAAACTTTCTGTGCTCAAAATAGAAAACGGAAATTTAAAAAAGAATATGATTTGAAAAAAATGCAAGGGTCTATGACTAAATTTATCCTACTTGATGTTGACCAAATTAACCAACACTCTTTTATATCATATATTAACGATAACAATCAAACAAATGTTATTACTAGGGCTCGGTTTTTAAAGCATAATAAATAACAAAAAAGCACAAAATTGTTTAAAAAAAAAAGCAAAAATGAAACATATTTATTTTTAAAAAAAGCATGACAAAAAGTTAACATAAATTAATTATAATTTTATAAAACTGAATAAAAAAAATTGAAAAATTGAAAAAGAATTTACTACCATGTAGTTGGCAAGATTTTCAGAAGTTAAACTAACTTTATTGTCTGACAGGATGTTTTTATACATAGAAAATGACCGCTCTTTATCCACCGGTACATACTTCGATATCGATGTTATACGATTAGTGAGCACTGAAAGTTTCTACAGGCTATATGCAATAGCCGATAAGCTATCGACTTCTAAGCTGTGTCTGTAGATCGATAATCTTTACGTTTAAGGTCGTTCCACACTAATGGTACGGTCACAGTCCGACGATGGGTAAAATATAATATCTATATTTATATTAATTTTATAATTATTATTGCGGGTTTTCTCATTTCTTATAAATTATATAAACATTTTTTTTATTACTATAGCATAACAAACAAATAAAAATTCCACAGCTAGAATAACTGAAAAAAGCAAAAGATATATTCGTTTATTTCGAATCAGATTAACGTGAAACGAATTTATGTATAAAATTAGATTTCTATCTTAAATATATAAAAAGAAGCATTTGCTTCAAAATCCGAGCCCTAGTTATTACTTACAATGATACTTCATATGTAGGCATTCATGACGAAACTATAGATCCTGATAATAATAGTAATTCTTCATTATTATTAAAAAACAATTGTAATGAAAACATTGACCAAATTAACCGACACCCTTATACATCATATAATTTCAACGATAAAAATCAAACAAATGTTATTACTAACGACGATACTTCATGTGAAGGCTGGGCCACAGCTAGGGGGGGCTAGGGGATATTTTGCTCCTGGCGGCAAAATATAAAAACATTTGACGTTGAAATACCTAGATAAATATACGCGCGTACCGCCGACTTATTTATACCGCGATAACGACGGTCGACGTCGGGTATCCGATCAATTTTTGATATG